TCAAATTGGAAAAATTTATCTAGTAAAATAGTTGTAACTGTTATTAGCACACGTCTCAAGAAAAACAAAGTTTCAATCAACAAAAGACAACTCTAGTTTGAACATATTTTTCTTTCTCGGGTAGTAATGATTCTTTTTTTAAGTAAGAACCCTTCTTTAATATATATTTTGGTTTTTGAAAATTACAGAGACTGAGAAACGGTCAGTTACATCACTTCTAATAACACTACATTTAAAAGTGAAATGGCCAAGGCTGTTTGCGAAAATATTGTCAATTTCAAAAAAACTGTTTTGGGTAATTCTTATTGGTTTATTTTAATATGCATCATTCCAAAATCATTAAAGCGATCGTAAAATTGCTGTATTTTATTAATTTTTTTTTTTTTTTTGTTTTCAAAATAATTATTCAAGTGATTTTTAAAGTTGTCTAAACTTTAAAAATCATTAAAATTTTAAAACATTAGGTATTCGGTATGCGGTAGTTACGATAATACTTTTCGATGGTTTATTGTAAATTTCTAAAGTGATAGTTTCAAAATCTGGCTCAGAGAACAACAGGTCACATCTAATTTTATAAGTATATTCTTCAACCACATAAGCACATATACAACTCCAAAGATTTACGTCCAAAACAAATGGCTTTGTTATTGGACAAAATAAAATTAGAATTTTGATAAAATGTTATATCTAAAATCCAGCTTTCCGTGAAAAAAATTGAAACTGAAGTTAAAGTTTAGATTAGCTAATAAGATTTTAAGCTCTTCAACGTTTTTGGTTTTGACGAAACACTAAGAATTGATGAAGACATAATTTTATATGTTTTAAGGAAAATAGTGGCTTTGTCGGGTAGTGGCTTCGTCTGAGTCAAGGTAAGAAGTGTTCAGTTTGTTTGCGTCGAACATTTGATCTTGAATATGTTAAGATTTTATTTCAGTATAATCAAAACTTTTTTTTATTACTTTAGAAGTAGTTACTAAATTAGTGGTTGTTAGTGACTATTGGCGGAACAATTTGAGAAACCCTGTTGAAAATTAATTTTTTTTTCTTCAGTTCTAAACTCGTTTTTTTCATTTTGTTCTTTTAACTTAGCGACTTATAAACACACTTTTTTATTCTTTAAATATAAAATATATATTATTTGTCATTTTGAATTTTCAAAAAAATATTTTGACTTAATTAGTTTGGAGTTCTACATAATGTTACTTAATAAATGGCGGAAGCATTTAACTAACGGTGAAAAGGAAAAAAAAGAAAAAGTGAAGGAAATCTTTAAATAATAAAAAAGATTAGTTAGAAATAATGTAAAAAAAGAAAATAATTGAAGGGTATAAACGAACTAAAAGATTGACGAAAAAATAAAACAAGAAAATGAATAAAAGAAAAAAAAGAACAAACAGGTTTAATCAAAGAAAAACAAAACAAACAAAAAATCAATTTACAGCAAAGTACCAATTTAAAAGAAAAAAGTTTTAAAAATGTTCGAAGTAATAATTAAAAGAACTAATTCAAACGTAAAAAATCGTAACCAATTTTTCTACACCTTTTTTTTTTGTGGCAAATATGTGATATTTGTTATATTATTATATTTTTATTATAATATTAATTATTAATTAATACTATAATATTACCATTAATTATTTTTATTAAATAATATATTTGTTAAATATTATCATTTTGTGTTTTGTAGTTTTTGTGTTTCTCCTTTCGTTTGCGTAAAGTTTGTTATTATTTGCGCTAATTATTTTTATTGTTGTTTTCTGTTTTTCTATTTTACCAAATTTTCTACACCTTTTTTTTTTTATTTCGCAAAAATAACTAAAGTTTGTCCGTATTTTTTAATTTAATTTTTTTTTGTAGAAGTATTTGTGTTTGCCTTTTCGTTTTGTAGCTTTTGTGATTCATCTTGTAGATTTTGTGTTTTGCCTTTTCGTTTGTGTAAGGTTTTTTTTTTATTTGTTCTGTTTTGCTAATTAATTTGTTTGCTGTTGTTATTGAGTGTTTTATATTTTCTGTCTTATTATTTAAGTTATTTTAGCTTTATCGTTGTTATTATTATTTTATTTATTTTCTTAGCGATTTTTGGTTCATATTTGTTATTTTTATTATTATTCTATTATTATACTAATTGTTATAATCAATTGGTGTCACTCATTTTGATCATGAGTGACATTCGTGTCATCACATTATTTGTATTGTTATAGATAGTATTATTATTTTTTAATAATTGTTGTTATAATTATTTGGTGTCACTTCTTTGATCAGGCTTCTGTTTGAGTTCCACCTTCCTTTTCAAATAATTATTTATATTTATTCTTATTAGTTATATTTTATTATAATTATATAGTTTGTATTATTATAGATATTATTATTGTTATTATATGAATTTTTAAAGATGTTAAAGACATTAGGAAATAATAAAGTAGGAAAAAAATTTGAAGTAAATTTTAAAAAGGAAAACAAATGTTTTGTCTTGTCTTGTCTTGAATTTACTTAATCTAATGCTTTAAGAACCATATTTTTGCTATTGATGTCTTCAAGCTCAATAAGCAAAAGATTGATGCTTCCTTTAGGTTTAAGGTGGCAAATAAATCTCACTTTGGTTCCATCGGATTTACCAGTACTAAGTAAATTGATTACTTGTAGTTTGTCTGTGAAGAACTTTGCGAAGATTCTAACCCTTAGATGATGATGATGATGATGTGAAGAACTTTGCGAAGATTCTAACCCTTAGATGATGATGATGATGATGATGTGAAGAACTTTGCGATGATTCTAACCCTTAGATGATGATGATGATGATGATGATGATGTGAAGAACTTTGCGAAGATTCTAACCCTTAGATGATGATGATGATGATGTGAAGAACTTTGCAAGGATTCTAACCCTTAGATGATGATAATGATGATGTGAAGAACTTTGCGAAGATTCTAACCCTTAGATGATGATGATGATGTGAAAAACTTTGCGAAGATTCTAACCCTTAGATGATGATGATGATGATGATGTGAAAAACTTTGCGAAGATTCTAACCCTTAGATGATGATGATGATGATGTGAAAAACTTTGCGAAGATTCTAACCCTTAGATGATGATGATGATGATGATGTGAAAAACTTTGCGAAGATTCTAACCCTTAGATGATGATGATGATGATGATGTTTTTTTCATTGCGCTCTTGCTCTTTACATTGTTTTGTGTTTTCAAAAAATAGTGATAATTGTATAGTGGTCATTAAAAGTGGTCATTATTTTTTTGGCAGCCCCTGATAGTACTTTCGACCACAAAGATACATTTGTATCAGAATTGACTTCTTTTAATTTTTCCATGTCTGAAATTATACTTTTCAGTTGCTTGTTTTCTTTAACAGATTCCACAACCTCGGATTTTAAGTTTTTTATTTAATTCTCGAAAATATTTATTACGATATCTATCATCTTTTTTGTCTATTTTTCTAGCTGAGCTGTTTGAGTCGTGATTTCGCTTATTTTCTTTTTAGATAGTTATTTGATTACTTGTTGTAGTTTTGTTAAAAAATTGTCTTAATGTTTGTCTTATAACTTTTTAATCGTATCGTATATATTGTTATAATTCAAAATCAAAAACTGATATATATATATATATATATATATATATATATATATATATATATATATATATATATATATATATATATATATATATATATATATATATATATATATATATATATATATATATATATATATATATATATATATTTGTATATATCAAAATCAAAATCTAATATATATATTTATATATGTGCTAGTAAATTTTTCCGTTAATATATATACATATAATAGTAAAACACCTTCTATTATTTATATATTTATATAATACTTTTGGCTATGATCCCAATTTATTTAATATTTTATAATGTTTTTGACACGGGAGAGTGTTAAAGGTAGTCAACGTGTTACAGGCGCAATGATATTAAGGACGTTAAAAGCAAAAAAATAATAAAAAATTATATAAGTGCTATTAAGTAAAAAAATTTATAATTTTTCTTGTTTTGTCTAGTGTCTATATAGTGATTACTTCATTACATGATTTTAAGCGTACTGGTGGTATTTGTAATTTGTTCTCAGTCATTCTATTGTTTAAAACCAGTGAGGGATCCAGCATTTTTTGGTGTTTGAGATAGCTAACTTGCAAGAAATGCTGAGTCCTTCACTAGTTAATACGTATTATTTTACACATAAAAGACGGCATAGGAATTAAGAAGCATTACAAAAAGTGCTTTCTTAGTTAGTGACGAAAACTAGCAGATAACTGGCGCAAAATAACCATCTAACCTTTTAGCTCTTGCAATTTTTTTTTAACATTCCTAAAGTAAAATTAACTGTTGATAAAAGCGCAAATTTTTTTATTTAAGAGTGTATTATATTTAAGTAATTTGTATTTTATATTAAATATAATTTATTATATTTAATATAAAATGCAAATTACTCAAATGTTATAACAATTTATAAATCCAGTTTTGTTTAAATTAATTAAATAGAAATCTACTTACTAACATTAAAAATACTTTCTTTAACTATATTATTTTTTTAGTTATCAAACACATGGTTGGTGAATTGTTATTAAATGGATGACAGTCATAGTTGTCAAAAATTGTTGTAATTGAGTAAATCTTGTTACACAACTTTATTTTAAAAAATATGTTGTATATTTGTACTATAAAATAATATAGATTGGTTGTTCTTATATTAGTACAAATTTTTTTATATTAATAAATAAACCTTGCAATATTTTTTTATACAGCTTTTTACACCAACAACTAGTTACTCGTTTAAAATAAAACGTGATTCAGAGTAAACATGAATGCTGGATTTGACATTTAAATAACAGCCTTTAAAATACTTAGTATTTTAAATGCAGCATTCATGTTGAAGTCTTCCTAGAAAGTCTAGAAAGTCTTCCTTAGGTACTTATCTATAAAAGACTAAGTTTGATATAAAGAACACGATTTTTTACTTACCACTTTCATCTCCATTTCTCCTTCATTTCTACCTTTATCTCCGACAACTTTCATTTCCAAATGTCATAAAAAGAGTTCTTCGCAAATTTTATAAAACAAAATTTTCCAAGTAATTCCAAAAACAGAAAGTTTATTTCTCTTTATAGCTTTTTAAATTAAGTCATTTAAATTAATTAAACAACATTATGTCAACTTTTGATTTTTTTAAGAAATGCTATGAAGTCGGATGATACGCAATGCGTATTTTAAAAAATTAGCTTTTCTTATTTTTATCCTTGATTTTGGCAGAGTATTAAATTTGTATTGGTTAGTTGAATATTGTTATTATTCAACTATACTTAATGTATGCTAAAATTACTAACATGTATTCAATTTATGCATAAATTATGCAAAATTTTACAAGTATAGCTTCACTCAACATTTGAAAATATATGTTTTAGCGTCTCTTCATAGGGTGCCATAAAGTTGTTGCTCATTTTAATCATTCATTTTTTTAACCATTTATTATTTAAAAAAAAAAATCAGCTTTTATGACTATTACCAATGAATTTTCTGACTTGAAATTTAGCTCAGAAAGTTTCTTATCGTTATTTATCCAGAAATTGATATATATATATATATATATATATATATATATATATATATATATATATATATATATATATATATATATATATATATATATATATATATATATATATATATATATATATATATATATATATATATATATATATATATACATATATTTATATATATATATATATATATATATATATATATATATTTATATATATATATATATATATATTTACACACAGGTAGACCAGAAAAAACGGAGACAAAATTTAATATGTCCTGATAATAAGTTCGGTATATCCAATTAATTTTATTGATTTTCGGATTCTTGATGTTTTTATGTTTAGTATATATATGTTCTTAGTTTGATATCTCTAAAATGTATTATATTTTTAGAATGTCAAATAAACGTAGAGAAATTTTAGAGTTGTTTCCTAAAGGAATGCTTCAATGTGATATTGTTCGCTTAATGTGCCTAAGCAAACTGGCATAATGTGTCTAAGCAAACTGTATAATTCTTAACCCTAACCCTAACCCTAACCTGCTGAGTATATATGTGTGTGTGTGTGTGTATATATATATATATATATATATATATATATAATATATATATATATATATATATATATATATATATATATGTATATTAGAGAATAAAAACTACGCGATTTTCACAACTTTAAGTTTCATGCTGTTGCAATCATCAGGTGAAATACAAATATAGTTTTTTCGTTTAAAAAATTATATACAATTGAAGCTATATAGAAAAAACCTATACGGAAAAAACATTTTTTTATTGTTACGACCGCGTGTATCTAATCTTCAGGTTTGTGGTTGCTCAAAAGAAATTTATTTTCGTGACGACACTTGGAAATCAACTCTGTTTTTTTATTGAGCAGCTCTTCAGCATTTTTATAAAGCAAAATAATCAGTTTTTGATCTAAACATAATAAACACTTTTTTGTTGTATTGTTGTAGGCGGGGGTTTTTTTAGGATAGACCAAGTTAATTCTGGTGTTTCTTTCAGTTTTTCTCTAGTTTTCCATATATGTTTTAAGAGATGTTTTAAGGTTGCATTTTAAAGTTTCTTATTGGAAAATCATTGCTTGTGGTTTGCATACCTTTTTTTCCACACTCCTTCTGATAAACTAATGTATGCTTTGCTGGATGTGTTTGGGGAAGATGTTATACATTTGTAAATGATGTTTGTCGCTCTACAATTTTTATTCAGCGGGCAGATTTCTTTTTGTTTCCAATTGCAAGGAAGATTTTCAGTGGTGTTAATTAAATTTTATTTTTTTGTTGTGGCTTTTTATAATTTTTGAAACGTTTTTGAGCAGCTGTAGCTAATTTTTGTAATGTTTCGGTTGAATAGTTTATGTAATGGGTTTGAAGGGGAAAATGTTTATCTATTAATTGCAAAAAAGTTTGGCCAACATTGGTGGAGACGCTTTTATTGTAGGGTGGGTTAAACCAAATGTTATTCCTTTTTTTTTGGGAGGTGTCTTATTTTTTGGGTTGTACTTTAAGTTAAAGTTTTAAAACCGTTTTGTTTAAGTGCTTCTTCGTATTCTGTTTTTGAAGCGTTAAATATTTTTTCATTGGAAAAATTTTGCGATAATCGATCATTAACGGAGAGAGGGATCTGCTTAAGAACTTGGGGCGGGTGGTTTGATTGGGTGTGGATGTAGAGCAGTTGGTCATTTTGTTTTTTAAAAGGTTGGTAGGAGTTTTTTTGAAGATTAAAAGTTACGTCAAGAAAATTAACACTTTTTAAATTGGTTTGAATCTCTATTTGAGATTCGATCTTTTTAAATATCTCAATTATATTTTTTTTGACTTTGTCTAACTGTGCGGTAGTTTTTTTGCGCATCACCATTAATCCGTCGTCTCGGTAAAGACCTATACCATTTTTAGTAATGGTTTTGGATAAAGAGTCAAAATGTATAAACCCACCAGTTCGCACACTTCAGATCCATCAAAACAACCCATTGTGACGTCAAAACAATCATTATACGTCTTTTTTATCCATGTTTCCTTTTTAAAAAATAATAGCGATTTTCTGCCATGATTTATGACTCAAATTTTTTTCACTGCTGATTTCAGTGTGCTGTTTTGAAAATATTAAAGCGTTATTTAATATGTCTTTTGTGATGGATGGGTAAAATTCATTGATGTCGAGACGTATAAATACACAATGTTGCTTGTCGCTTATGTTTGTAAACCATTTGATTACTTCTGCGGTGTTTTTCCATTGGTTTAGTTTTAACTTATTTTTTAAGTCCTTGCTAATTTTATCTAGGTATGTTTTGCTGACAACAACGAGTTCACTTTTTGCTGGATTTAATAAGCGGCATGCTTTTTGATTTTCAAAGTTATTTTTGTGGTCTTTTAATGTAATGAATGCTCCTGATTTGACGATTATATTGATTTGTTTGTTTATATTTAGTTTAGTTGCAATATTTTTTGCCTCGAGGTTGATTGAATTTTCTAGTTTTTTGGGGGCTTTTTTGTATGTTTTGGTGATGTTTTCTTTCAATAATTTGGAGTAATCTTCGGGGGGTAATTGGTAAATGTTGTTGGTTTTGTCTGAAAATATTAGGATGTTTGGGTTAGATTTAATTTTTGAAAGGTCGTCCTTTAATTTTTTTTTGAAATTGGCTTTGGGATTTCTTAAACTTTATTGATTTTACTCAAAGTTTTTTGATTCTTTGCATTGTGGAGGTGTTTTTTTCGTTTTTAAACCAAATTTTCTCGTGTACTTGTTTCGGTTTTGTTCATGTGAAAATATGTTTTCCAGCGTATTCTTTTTATAATGCTTTCTATTTTTTCAACAAGATTTATTTTGTAGCTAGTTTCATCTTGTATTGGAATATTTTTAAACGAGTAGGTAAAATTAAATTTTTCCATTTTTTGAAGTCGATGCAAGAAAGTGCTCAACTAACTTCTGTCAGGGGCGTATTATGTAGTGATGCTATTTTGTGCATATACTATCAAGAAAGTGCTCGATGAACTAAGTCAGAGCTATAATATATATATAGTAGAAAATAATCATCAGGTGAAATACAAATATAGTTTTTTCGTTTAAAAAATTATATACAATTGAAGCTACATAGAAAAAACCTATACGGAAAAAACATTTTTTTATTGTTACGACCGCGTGTATCTTATCTTCAGGTTTGTGGTTGCTCAATAGAAATTTATTTTCGTGACGACACTTGGAAATCAACTCTGTTATTTTATTAAGTAGCTCTTCAGCATTTTTATAAAGCAAAATAATCAGTTTTTGATCTAAACATAGTAAACATTTTTTTGTTGTAATGTTGTAGGCAGGGGCTTTTTTTAGGATAGACCAAGTTAATTCTGGTGTTTCTTTCAGTTTTTCTCTAGTTTCCCATATATGTTTTGAGAGAGTGGTTGCATTTGAAAGTTTCTTATTTGAAAATGATATATATATATATATATATATATATATATATATATATATATATATATATATATATATATATATATATATATATATATATATATTTGTATATATATATATCTATACACATATGTATATATATATATGCATATATACATATATATATATGCATATATACATATATATATATATATATATATATATATATATATATATATATATATATATATATATATATATATATATATATATATATATATATATATATATATATATATATATATATATATATATATATATATATATATATTTGTATATATATATATATATATCTATACACATATGTATATATACATATATATATATGCATATATACATATATATATATATATATGCATATATACATATATATATATATATATATATATATATATATATATATATATATATATATATATATATATATATATATATATATATATATATATATATATATATATATATATATATATATATACATATACATATTATACTTAAATATTTAATCATAATCTCAATAATATTAAAAGAAACTTTATATAAAATTTCTCAAATTAAACTCAAGGGAAAATTGTAGTAAAAAACATTTATAATGCAGTAAGCAACCCATTAAATGAGTCAGTTTTATTTGAGATATTAGGAAATAAGTAACATCTTTGTATCAGCAAAACATCCATTAATGAAAACACAATAACTCCTGATCGCTTTTTAAAATAATTAAGTAAATATGGAAGGTTTTGTAATGTTACCAGTGAACAAAAGTATTTTTTACCTCAATTGTGCCCTACCGTAGTTGAATTTTTTTTTTTAAGAAATAACAAACGTCCGTCCTCTTATAGTTCTCTCTTTTTTTTTATAATTCTTGTTTTGGAACAATAAAATGTTGCCGGTGGCCAAATTGATGTATACGATGGCTGAAACACGATTGAGATGATGCTTTTAACCAGAAATTTTTTCACAAGCACCAACGAGTGAGCAGGTAAATTATCGTGATCCAAAAGTTATGAACTCTTTTACACAACTGCACAATTTTCTTAACTGCTTTAACATTTTTTTCTATTGTTAACGCATTGCAAAGGCCTCTCTGTTTCTGGAAGAGTTTAGAAAAAATTGTTTTTAAGAACCACTTATAAATTTTTTTTACTTAAAATAGACTCACCGCATTCTACCGTAAGCATTTAAAATTATTTGGAGCATTAACTCT